TCCTCCTGCTGATGGAGGAGCTTTTTCCAGGGCAGGGGAGAGGCTGCTGGGCTGGGACAAAGTGCCTTTGGCTGCACTCCGTGTGTCCCTGAGGTTTTCCTGCCCTCAGAGCCCCGTGGTTTCGGCAGCAAGAGCTCCCTGTGCCACCTTCCCCATCCACCGGTTCCACCGATCCAGCCTCCTGCTGGTGTCTTGAGGGCTGTGCAGGCTCCAGGCGACCTAAACCTTGGCCTTCCACTTAATTTACCGCTCTAATTGAACAGCTGGGAAGCGGGGTTGGATTGCTGCTCCCCGGGGGAGCCGATCCCTCCTGCACGAGGAGGAGCCGCGGGATCCCGGCCCCGGGAGCAGGGCTGGCCCTTGGACAGGCGTTATCGGGATGCCAGGTGGCTGCAGGGGAGCCGACTTTGGACCGTGGGTATGTGCCGGTGTGTGCCGGTGTCCCCGGTTCCGGCGGTGCCGCGGCCCTGGCCCCGCTCCAGGCTGGTGACAGGGTGAAAGTGCTGACAGCTCTGTGGTAAAGTCCCTTCCAGGGCCAGGGAGGGGACAAACAGTGACAGGAGCAGGTCGTGGGGCACTCGGGGAGGAGCAGCCCCTGCCACGTGACTCAGCGCCCTGTCATGCTGGAGTTAATTGGGGGTGGTCGTTACCCCCATCTAGGGGGTCCTGGAATGCGCCTCTTCCCGCCCTGGGATGAGAGTCCTGCTCAGCAGCCTGGGAGGGGTCTCTCCTCGCTGGTGGCGGGTTCGTGACCGTCCCCTGTCCCCCGGCAGGTTCCGTGGCCTTCCTGGGGCTGTACCTCATGTTCGGCTACGGCGCCTCATTGCTCTGCAACCTCATCGGCTTCGCCTACCCCGCCTACGTCTCGTGAGTACCTGTCCCACCCCCTGCAGCACCTGGAGAGCGTTCCCTGCCCTTGGCTGAGGGTCTCCCTGCTCAGTGAAGAGGCAATTATGGCTGGGAAGCTCTTGAGGCCTTCCTGGAAAGGCTGGGACCGTGCCAGCTTGGGGCGGGAAGGTTTGCCCCAGGGTTTGGAGGATCTGGGAAGGAGGAGCCCACCCCAGGACTGCAGCAGCCGTGCCCTTCCCCTCTCCTGTCACAGCATCAAGGCCATCGAGAGCAGCAGCAAGGAGGATGACACCATGTGGCTCACGTACTGGGTGGTGTACGGCGTCTTCTGCATCGCCGAGTCCTTCTCCGACCTCTTCCTCTACTGGTTCCCCTTCTACTACGCCGGGAAGGTAACGGCTGTGCCAGAGAGAGGGTCCTCCTGCCCGAGGGCTGAACGTGGAGGGGCTGACTGTGGTGGGCCCTGCCCCGTGGGGCCGTGGTGGGGCTGCAGTCAGCTCAGATCCTGACACCTCCAGTGAGCTCCAGCCTCGGAAGCTGCCGCTGGACAGGGGGGGCACTGGAGCAGCTCGGCCCCTGCCCTGCCACCCTCCAGCTGAGCCCCTGTTGTCCCTGCAGTGCCTGTTCCTGGTGTGGTGCATGGCCCCCGTGCCCTGGAACGGCTCACAGGTGCTCTACCACAGCATCATCCGGCCCTGCTTCCTCAAGCACCACGAGGCCGTGGACAACGTGATCAGCGACATCAGCACCAAGGCCCTGGACGCGGCTTCCACCGTCACCCGAGAAGGTAACGCGGGTCCCTCGTCCTGCTCCGTGTCCCGGCCGGGCGCTTTTCCCAGAGCGGGGCTGTGTGGGCAGCTCACTTTAACCACCCCCAAGACACTGTTTCTCTGTGCCCACGCTCCGTGCTGCCCCAGCAGTGACAGGAGCCCCTGCGGGGTGTCGCTGTCCCCTCTCTAACCTCTGTGTTCTCTTTGCGCCGCACCTCTGGTCCAGTCCTGCAGACTCTGGCGAGCAGCAGAGCCCGGCTGGCGGCCGGGGCAGCCCCGCAGCTCAGCCTGTCCGTATGTAACAGCCACGGCTCCTCCCGCTGCCGCCGCAGGGAGACGGGGCCGGGCTGTACCGGGCGCCCGCCGGGCCTGGGGCTCGTGGCCACCGTGGCAGCGGCCAAACCGCCCTGCCCTGGCTCCCGCACAACCGGCCCCTTCTCCCGGGGTGTGGCTAGAGCAGGCGCTTCCCTCCTGCTTCTCCATAGCCAGACCCTTCCATGTGTCCATCCGTGTGTCCGTCCCTGTGTCAGTGTGCTCTTCACAGCGCTGCCAACCTGTGGCTCCCATCCGGAGCCCCCCGGGTGCGGGGAGCAGGACCCTGGTGCCACCCCTGTGCTCAGCGGGAGGGAACGGGATGGTGACCGGGACGGGCTGGGCCAGGGACACCGGGCACTGCCCCGGGGATGGGCACTAACGCTGTCCGTGTGTCTGCAGGAACCAGAGCATCCCTGAGCCTGGCAGAGGAACTGAACAAGATGAAGTGAGAGGGGCATCAGCACCCCCAGTACCGGCACTACGGCCCCGGTACTGGGACCGGCACCGGCACTCCTGGTACCAGCACCGGCATCCCCAGTACCGGCACCACGGCCCCAGTACCATCACCACGCTCCTGGTACTGGCACCGGCATCCCCTGTACTGGCACCACAGACCCCGGTACCGGTACTACGGCCCCGGTACCGGCACCAGTGACTCCAGTACCGGCACCCCGGGCCTGGATCGTCCTCAGCCGGGATCCTGGATCTGTCCAAGCCAAGCCTGTCCCGTCCTCCCTATCCCCAATAAAGCCTCGGTGCCCTCGAGCCGCCGCTCCCGCGTGTTCTGTGACACCGCGCGGCGCCTTTAAGAGCGGGGGCGGAGCCTGGGAGGGAGAGGGCGGGGCCTGTTTGGATGACGTCACCGGGGGCGTGGCGGAAGTGCGGCGGGACGCGGCCGGAACGTGGCGGGGGTCGGTCCGTCGGTCCGTGCGCGGTACCGGGGGTCTGTCTGTCCGTCCAGGGCGAGATCGGGGGGGCTCTGTGTGTCCTGGGGGGCGGAGCGTCCGGTCTGTGTGTCCGGGCGTCTGTCTGTCTGTCTGTACGCGGGCAGGGGGCGCAAGGAGGGATCTGTCAGTGTGTCCGGGAACAGCGTGTGGGGGTCTGTCTGTCTGTCTGTCGGGAATGGGCAGTGAGGGGGTTCTGTTCTGCCTGTACTGGGGGGGACGGGAGAGGGGGTGTCTGTCGGTCTGGTGGGGAGGGAACTCAGCCTGTCCACGGGGGCAGCGAAGGGGTCTGTGTGTCTCCCCGGGGGGGCAGTGAGGGGGGTCTGTCTCTCTTGGGGGGACAGGGAGGAAAGGAGGGATCTGTCTGTCTGTTTGTCCCGGGATGGAGAAGGTGGAATGTTCTGTCTGTCCATCCCCGGGGGGGCAATGAGGGGGCTCTGCCTGCTGGACTGGGAGGGACAGGAAGGGGGGTCCGTCTGTCTGTCCAAAGGGCAGCTCGGAGGAGTCTGTCTATCTTAGGGGGATAGGGAAGAGGAGGGTCGATCTGTCTGTCTGTCCAATGGGGGCACCGCAGCCCCCTCACCCAGCTGCCCCCCCCTCCACAGCCCCCCCTACATGAGCCTCGCCCGTGATGAGCTCCAAGGCCAAGCGGGTGCTGCCCACCCGCCCTGAGCCCCCCAGCGTGGAGCAGATCCTGGAGGACGTGCAGGGCACCCACCCGGCCGACCCCGTCTTCGTCCTCCCCGCCGAGCCCCCCCTGGACCACGGCCCCGCTCCAGGTGAGCCCGGGATGGGCAGGGGGGCGCGGGGAACCCCCCCGGTGTCCCACTGACCCCCGCCGTGCCCCGCCAGGCTCCCCCGACCCCGCGGCCGAGGAGCGGGAGCGACTGTACCGGCAGAGCCGCTCCTACGTGGGGATGAACCAGCGGCTGCAGGAATCCCGGGAGCGGCTGCGGGAGCAGCGCCGGGAGCTGGAGCGGGCGGGAGCGGAGCTGGAGCGTGGGATCGCGGAGATGAGGGAGAAGGCGCTCTGAGGGCCGGGGTCGGAGCCCCGACTCCTCCCGGACTGTGGTGGGGCACCTCGGGACGCCCCAGGGTGTGGTTTCACCTTCCCAAATCGGGGCGGAACTGTCCGCATTGTGTTTAAGGGATTTTGCCGTGGGACGTCCCCGCCGTGCCAGGGCCTGGCTCTGCCACCCCGGTGACGTTTCCCCAGGGAACAGAGGGATCTGCTGGGAAGGGCTGCCCAGCACGGCCGCAGGGTCCCAGTGCAGGAACAAAGGCTTGGACCCCACACTTGCTCCCTGCACTGGCTGCCACGTCCCCCGTGGGTGGCACGTCCTCCGTGCCCTCACACCACAACTTCCCCTACGACTTCTCCCTCTGGTACTTCCCGGAGGACGATCCCGTCGCCTCCAGCATCGCCCAGCGCCTCAGGCAGGAGGGCTTCCGGGGCTTCACGGAGCACCAGGACCAAGTGGCCGGGACGTCGGTCATCCTGACGGCCCTGGAGGTCATCGAGGCCAGCCGGGTGGCCATCCTGCTCCTCTCGGCCCGCTCCGTGGGCGACCCGTGGTGCCAGCGCGTGTCCCAGTGGAACCTGCTCCGCGTCATCCAAGGCTGTGGGACCAAGGTGGTCCCCGTGTGCGTGGGGGTGACGAGGGCCCAGGTGCCCCCGTTCCTGCAGCACCTCGTCCCCCTGGACTACCAGAGCGAGTTCTTCTTCGAGCGGCTCCTGGCCAGCCTGAGAGCCCACCCGGGCAGAGGGGCCAGGCGGGTCCCACCCAAGGGGACACGCTGAGGGACCACTGGGGAGGGTTGGCCGGGGGCCAGCACTGGTGGCCCCGTGGTGATGGTGGCGGGAAAACTGTCCTGGTTTTGCTAATAAAGGTGGTGGGAACGGATCACCCAGTGCTGTGGATTGTCATAACAATCCCAAACCCCCTGTTTTGGCAGAGCTGAAGATGCCGCTTTCTGTCTGCAAAGCCGAGCACCGAGGGGGCTGTGGGTGTTTCCCACCCCCACAGGTGTTACCCTGTGGGTGCCTCTTCCCCTTCCTGCCCCCTTAGCGGGATCTGTGTCCTGCTGCCGCCCTGCTCCGCTGTCACACGGGACGTGGGGCTCCTCTGACACCACACCAGGGCACGGAGCAGGCAGGAATGGGGGCGAGGGGCTGCCTGGGGCCACTGCTGCTGCTGCTGCTGCCCCTGCCTTCGGGTGAGCAGCGGGGCGGTGGGTCTGGGCTGGGTTTGGGGTGGGTCTGGGGTGGGTCTGGGGTGCCCAGCGGGGTCTTGGCATCGCTGGCTGGGGTGGTGGCAGGTGCTGGTTGGGGGCCAGGACAGGATCTCCTCTCCCCACAGCGTGGGCCTGGCTCCAGCCATCGATTATCGGGGGACACGAGGCCAAACCCCACTCCCGGCCCTACATGGCGTCCCTGCAGTTTGGGGGGGTCCACGCCTGTGGGGCAGCACTGCTGCACCGGCGCTGGGTCCTGACGGCCGCCCACTGCCTGGCCCGGGGGTGAGTCCAGGGCCACGGGGGGCTCGGGGGGCTCCCAGTGACCCCACCGGGCTGACACCGGGTCCTGGTGTGGGGCAGGACACTGGCCAACGGGAGAGTGGTGGTGGGGCTGCACAGCCTGCGGGACCGCGGGGCGGCCACACAGACCTTCCCCATCCGGGCGGCCTGTCCCCACCCCGGCTACGACCGAGGGACGATGGAAAACGACCTGCTCCTGCTGCAGGTGGGGCTGGGGAGGGGTCTGCCGGGGGCGGGAGGAGCGGGAGCGCCGGCGGTGCCGGGAAGCGCTGCCGGGGGGGTTCACACGTGTCGGTGCAGCTGCGCTCGCAGCCGGGGCTCGGTGACATTTCCTCTTCTCACCCCCGGAGGTTTCACACCTCCGTAACATCTCCCCGCTCCCGTGGGCGCTGCATCGGCTCGGTGCTGCCCCTCAAGCACCCACCTGTGCTGTTGGGGTGCTCTTCCGCAGCCCCCCCGCACCCCTGCAGCACTTGGGCACCCCCCTTGGCCCCTCACCTGCAGCACTGGGGTGCCCTCCCTCAGCCATCCACCCACGGCATTGGGGTTCTCCCTCTGGAGGGCCCACCCAGGCATTGGGGTGCTCCCCCCGCACCCCCACCCGCAGTGTTGGGGTGCTCCCTGTGCTCCCCCGGCCGTGGGGGGGTCCTGACGCTGCCCCCGCCCGCAGCTGGAGGGGCCGGTGACGCTGGGCCGGACGCGGCGGCTGATCGGGCTGTCGGGGCGGGGGCCGGCAGCGGGGGCCACGTGCAGCCTGGCGGGCTGGGGGCTCCGCGGGCGCGGGGGGCTCTCGCCCACCCTGCAGGAGCTGGAGGTGAAGGTGATGGACCCGCGGATGTGCAACAACAGCCGCTTCTGGGACGGCGGCATCGCCCCCACCATGATCTGCTTCCAGGGGCAGCCCCGGGGCTCGGCCCCCGCCAAGGTGAGCGTTTGGGGGGTCCGAGGGTTACAAAGCTCTGCCCACCCCCAGCCACCACTCCCGGGTGTGGGGGGCTCTGGGGGGGAAGCTCACCCTGAGCACAGAGGGCAGATGTCCCCCCAGGCGTGGTGGGGGTCTCTGCCCCTGGTCGGGGTGCACTCTCTGGTGTCACCCCCGTCCCCCAGGGGGACTCGGGGGGCCCGTTGGTGTGCGGGGAGCGGGCGGCGGTGGCCGGGGTGATGTCCTTCAGCGGCCCAGATGTCACCGACCCCTTCAAGCCGCCGGTCGCCACCTCGACCGTGAAGTACAAGAAATGGATCCAGAAAACCCTGCAGAGGGGCTGCAAGTCCCCCCAGCCCCCAAGAGACTGAGCACCTCTTCCTATTTACACAGGTTGGCTTTTAATGGGAATACTGTCCAGAGTCCGGTAAAATAAGATCCTTAGTACATAGATACAGTGCTGGGGGAGCAGGGCACGGCACAGCCCGGCGGGATTGTCCATGGAGGAGGGGGACAGCGGGGCTGGGGGTGGGCTTGGGCCCAAGGGGCGATGCTGGCCTTCCCACCACCCCGTGCTCCCTTACAGCACTCAGGATTTGGGACACGTGCTGCCCCTGGGACTTTCCTCCTTTTCTTCAGCCCCAGCTCCAGGCCTCCTGCACTGGCCCCATGCCAGAGCAGGGGGTCTCCAAAATGTGCCTGTCCCCATGACCCTGGTGCACTGTCCCTGCAGCCCCTGTGGCACTGGTGTGGGGGGACAGATGGAGGGACACATAGGTCACCCCATCCAAAGCAGGTGGTGGTGGTGGGAGGACTGGGAGATACCCAAGGGGTCAGGGAGCACCTGGATTAGGGGGTCCCTCTGCAACCCATCCCACTCCAAGGGGCCGAGGCACTTCCATCACACCCCAGTCTTGGCATCTGGGGCCAGCTGGCAGCAGGATTGGGGTGTCCCTGGGGTTTTGGGGCTGGGAGCCCCCCGTGGGCGTAATCCAGTCCTGGATGGATTCGTGTCCACATCCACAAGGACACACTGGGATCCTGGCTGCGAGCTGGGACGGGGATCTTCTGCCCTGGGGATGGGAAGCTGGGGAGCTGCAGATGGAGGGGAGGGACCCCAGACCCTTCCCTGGGGGTTGGTCACCCCGGTGCCAGCTCAGCACCCTGTCCCCTCCCAGGGCAGCTCCCCAGCCTGGTGACATGACCCTGTGAAAAGCTCCCCAGGATGAGCCCATCGGGACCCCAGACACCCCCGTGAGCCCCTGCCCGGCTCCCTCTGCACCATTTCCACCCTCCACTGCCTCGGACCAGTGCAGGGACCTCGGTTGCTGGTCCCTCCAGCGGCACAAACAGGGGTCCTGGCCCCCATCACCCCTGCAAAGCCTCTCCCCTGCGTCCCCTTCCCCCCATTAATAAATGAGCTGTGACCGCTGGCAGAGCCAGTGTTGGTGCCAGAGGAGCTGGAGCACACAGGGGTGTCCCTGTGCCGGGCTGTGCCGTGCCGGCTTCCCGGCATGTGGGATCAGATCCTGGTTCAGACCCCTGCCCAGAGTGGGTGAGGGAGATGGGGGGATGTGGGGACACCATCCTCCCTCATCTTGTCCTGGGTTGTCCATCAGCGGGAGGAGATGGTCCGTGAGACTCACCCCAGGTTGGGGTGTCAGCCCCAAGCGTGTCCCCAGCCAAGTCCAGTCCTTGGCACTGGGAATTGTGATACTCCAGCACAGCAAGACCCCAGCAGGGCCAGCAGCGGGTGGGGGTGACTCACTGGTCCCCAGCTGTCCCACATCAGTGTGTGTGTGTGTCCCCAGCACAGTCCTGCTCAGCTCCCGTGGGCTGGGGGGGTCACAGGACCCTCACTGGGGCCTCATCCGTGGCAGCTGCTCAAGCCTGGATTTTCTCCACCGCCTTGTCGGCCACGGCCGTCACTGCCATGGGGCTGGGGACGTAGTTGAAGGGGGTGACACGGGCGGCCTTGCTGGGGGAGCCGTGTCGGCTGGCGGGGAAGGTCCCGGCGGGCGCCTCGTGGCCGAAGGAGATGGGCAGGGCAGCCTTGGCGGGCGCGGGGGCTTCGCCATCGCCGGTGACACGGGGGTGAGGGGGTCCCTCGCGGGTCTCCAGCGTGGGAGAGGTGCTGGAGTTGGTCTTGGAGGCGGCGAAGTCCTCGGTCTGCACCACGGCGTCGCTGGTCTTCCTGGGGCCGGGGGTCTCGTCCTCGGCGGAGCCCGCCAGCGGCAGGGCGGAGGAGGGCAGCGTGCTCTTGAGGATGTGGGGGATGTCTTCGTCCCGAATCCTCCGCCACGTGCCCTTCATCACCACCACCGGCGGCTTCCCCGGCTGCCCCCCGGGAGCCGCCTCGGGCTGCCGGCGCCGCGCCGGCGCCTCGGAGCGCACGGAGGAGGAGGAGGACGGGCTGCCCGCCCGCCGCGCCACGCTGATGTTGGGCGAGGACGAGTATCGCTTGAAGGGCTCGGCCGCGGGGGCGCTGGTCTTCACCGGCAGCCGGGACGGGCTCTCGGAGCTGGTCCTGCGCGGCGGCTTCGCCCCGGCGCTGGTTTTGGCGCCGGGCTGGGCTCTGGGGGCGAGGGGCCGCGGGCCGGGGGATGCCGGCTTGGCCACCTTGAGCTCGTCACAGCGGGAGGAGCAGAGGAACACGGCCGGGAGGGCGGCACGGCTGCGCTGAGGGGACCCCCGGCGAGGCAGCGAGGCCGCGGGGGCCGGCGGGGCCAGGTCGGTGCGGTGCCGCAGCAGCAGGCTGGAGGACTCCTTGATGAAGGTGAGCTGGCGCAGGAAGCCGGAGCGGTCCGAGTCGCTGCCGCTGGAGCGGGCGGATGACATCCGCACCAGGTTGAGCCGGCTGCCCCCCGGCCCCCCGGCCCGAGCCTTGGAGCCGTCCACCTGCTCCTCCAGCACCGGCATGGCCCCCCGGCCCGGCAGCACCTTCCTGCTGGGCTTCTGCATGAAGGGGATGCGCACGGGAGACTTCTGCGTCTTGGACTGCTTGGGGGCCGGGGATTTGGGGGCCGGGGCCTTGGCCGGGGGTCCTGGCGGGGAGGATGAGCCCCCTGCCTTGCCCGCGGCTGGGGTGCCTGGCTTGTTGAGCTGGGAGGGCGATGGCAGCTTCTTGGGGCCGTGCTGGGAGGGGGTGGAGGTGCGGGAGGAGCCCGAGGAAGGGGGGCCCTTCCCCATGCGGGCGGGCGGAGTCGTGCTCCTCTTGGGCAGCGCCAGGTCCCCGGTTTCGGGGGCCTTGCCCAGCCGGTGCAGGCTCCGCGAGCGCTGCTGGCTCAGGGAGAGGTTCTTGGCAGGCGGCGCCTCGGGCTTGGCCACTGGGGTCTTCTTCGGGGTGGCCCGTGGGCTGGGGGCATCCTTGGCCAGGCTGGGCATGTAGATGACGGTCCTGCCACGGAAGACCACGGGCAGGTTGGGCACCGGTTTGGCGGGTGCTGGGCTCCGCTCCGCCCTGGCACCGGCACGGCCGGCGGGACGGGCACCCGCCGTGTCCTTCCGCTCTGGGCGGCCCTTGCTGTGCTCCCTCCTTGCCGTGTCCCGGCCGGATGTGCTGCCGGGCCGCTGCTTCTCCTGCCTGCCCAGGGAGAGCTGCAGCGTGGAGCCCACCGAGAGCCCCGACATGAAGGAGAGGATGGAGTCGGACTCGGAGGAAGGCTCCCGCGAGAGGGAGGCGGCAGCCTGGTGCAGCCAGGTGACGATGGAGTTGGCTCCCTCCTGGATGGCCTGCCACTCCACGCTGTCCAGGTCGGAGCCCCGGTCGGAGCCGGCGTCCTCGTCGGGGCGATGCCTGACCTCGGCTTTCCGCTCCCTCCCGCCCGTGCCCGGCGGCTTCTGCTTGCGCTCCAGCCCCCTGCGGCGAACCGCGGGCCGCCGGCGCTTGGGCATGGCCGAGCCGATGCACTTCTGCAGCAGGTCATCCTCCGAGTTGAGGCTGGGGGAGCTGGGGGAGCCCCCCTGCTCCTGCCCCACCGCGGCCGACCGCGGCCACGTGGCTTTGCCGCAGGGCTGGCCCCGCTCCTCGCCGTCCGAGAGGTTGGCGTCGCTCAGGGAGCTCATGGAGGAGCTGAGGGAGTAACAGGGCGGTGTCTCATCAGCGATGAGGTTGTTCTGCAGCTTTGCCTTTGCCGGACGGGGACCGGGCTCGGGGTCCCTGCGGGGGATGGAGCCGCCCGAGCGCTCCCTCCGGGGTGCCCGGCCGGGCTGGGCTCTGCTGCCGGAGCCTTCCCTGCCCGCCTCGGGCAGCTCGTCCAGCTCCGGATCGTAGAAGCAGTAGACGGCTTCCTCCGTCGGCGTGGTGTGGCACAGCGACTGGAAGACCACCCCGTCCTCCTGGGGGTCATCCTTCCTCCCGGGGGCACCGCTGGCCCTGCCCACCCCCAGCTCCAGGCTGGCTGAGCTCTTCGGGGGGGTCTGGCCCCGCTTCCCCTCCCCACCTTGGCCGCGGCCCGGCCCCGCTTTGCCCTTGCTGGTGGAGCCGATCCTGGCGGGTGCCGAGCTGCCAGAGGCGGCTCTCCTGGCCGGGATGGTGCCGCTCTCGCGTCGCCCCTCGGGCAGCGGGTGCTCGGCCTCCTCGCCCGCCGGGTAGCGCAGGGTCTCGTCGCTCAGCGAGGCGGCGCTGGAGAAGTTGACGGGGGTCCCTTCGGCCGAGTCAGTGAAGGAGTCGTCATCCTTGAAGAGGTCGCGGGCGGTGGCTCGCAGGTGCCTGGGGACGCCGGGGTGCGCGTGGGCCGGCACCAGCATGTAAACGGGGACGTGCATCGGCTTCTTGGTCTGGGGGTGCAGGACCTGGCCGGACAGCAGCGAGGTCTTGACCTTGCGGAAGCGGGAGGGCATGGCGGAGCTGATGCACTCCTTCAGGATCTCGATGTCGTCGTCGTCGGGGGGCTCGGGGCGCTCGGCCCGGCGCCGACCCTCCAGGTACCGCTCCTCCCGCCGCTCCTCCCGCTTCTCGTGAGCTGCGAAGTTCAGGCTGTTCTTCTCCGGGAAGGTGGGAATCAGCTTGAGCTCCACGTCCTTCTGGACGTAGTGCTCGTGGAGGGGCAGGGCGCTCAGGCTGGAGGCACACGAGAAGTTCTCGTTGGGTTTCTCCACCGTGAAGTAGACCATGGAGTCCAGGTCCTGGGGCAGCTGGAAGCGTTCCTTGAAGTCTGTGATCTCCATGAACTTCTTGACGTTGTTCTCCCACTGGATGTTGAACTGGCTGGTCTCCTTCTCGGGCTGGCAGCCCAGCTCGAAGAGGGGGGTCTTGCTGCGGCTGGGGGGCATGGTCTGCCCGGGGCTGTCGGGGAGCTCGCTGGGGCTGATGGTGCCGCTGATCATCTCGCTGCACGGGTCGCTCTGGATGGAGCTGGCGATGGAGGGGCTCTCGAAGCTGCCCAGGGAGCTGACAGAGCTGCAGCGGCTCATCACCAGAGGAGTCTCCTGGATGTAGTTCTCCGAGGAGCTGGAGGGCGTCAGATCGTCCTGGCGTGAGGGTGATGCTTCCCGCAGGAAAACCTTGTCCCGCTTCGGGAAGGGGATGGTGATGGGCTGGGAAATCCCCACCGGTGTGGTGGGACCCGGATCCACCGCCTTCTCCTTCTCCTGCCTCCCATCCTCCCCTTCCGCATCCCCTTCCTCCATCTCCAGGATCTCCAGGGAGGAGTCACTGTCCAGGTCGTTCTCGCTGTGGCTCTGCCCATCCAGCACATTGTCTGCCGAGGAGAGGGAGGAGAGGGAGCTACAGCGGGAGAAGCAGATTGGGGTGTCCTCCACCGAGTACTTCTGCACCGACTCCTGCTCTGCCACGGCCGGCGGCTGTGCCGGCAGCTTCTCCGGGATCTTGCTCAGGGTCTCGGCCGTCTGCAGCAGCGCCGGGGGGAGCCAGGCTTGCTTCCTGCCCAGCAGGGAGGGCTGGTGGCCGGTGGCCATGCCACTCTTGGCCAGGCTCTCGAGCAGGGGCACGTGCTGGTAGGACGGGGAGAGCTTGATGGTGTGGACGTGGGGGTCGGGGGGCTGTTTGCCACCCACCTCCTTCTTCCACTCCGTCTCCTTCTCCGGTGCCTTGGGGCTGGGGAAAGTCACCGTCTTCTTGGCCCGTTCGGGCGGGTCTCGCTGCTCCGGTTTGTCCGGCTCGGCCGGGTCCCGTGCGGGGGGCTCGGCCCGCTCCGGTTTGCCGCCCAGGATGCTCTTGAGGTCGAGCCGGCTCGGCCTCTTCTGGTAGCGCTGCAGCTCGTCACGATAGTCGAGGAAGGCGGCCCTGGGGCAGGGCTTCATGTGCTCCTTGGTGCAGTAGCCGTCGCTGGTGCTGCCGCTGTTGAGGCTGTCGGTGGACAGGCTGGTGTAGGCCGTCTTCAGCCGCAGCAGGGTGTGCGCCCGGCTCAGGCTCTCCCGCTTGGCAAAGCCGCCGGCGTCCGAGAGCCGGCACGGCGAGCATGACTGGGCCCGCGCCTCATGCCCGTCCTCGGGGCCGTACTGCCAGTCCAGGCAGTGGTCCTCGGAGCTGAGGCTGAAGCTGTCGTCCGAGGAGTTGTGCATGGTGGAGATGTCCTCCACCAGCTTGTCGATCTTGGCCACCGTGCTGGAGATCTTGTTGGCCAACTTCTCGGCGGCCAGAGAGACGTCGTCCTCCGGCAGCGGCAGCTTCTTGGGCTCCGCCGGCTTCCCGCTGCCGTCCTTCTCCGGCTCCGGGCATCGCCGCTGTGCCAGCGCCCGCGGCAGCGCCTGGCCCTGCAGGAAGGAGGAGTTGAGGAACATGGAGAGCACGGAGGCGCTGGCCGTCTCCACGCCGGTGGACACGTTGGGCACCTCGTCATCGTCGAAGCAGCCGGAGTCGGAGGCGTAGTCCTTCACCAGGCTCTCCATGTGCCGCAGCGGCTTCTTCGCGCTCTGGCTCTTCAGGCTCTGCTTCTCCATGGTGTCGAAGGTCTCAGCCAGGTGCTTGGCGTCCAGCTCGGCCTCCAGCGCCTTCTGCTTGCGCATGTAGAGCGAGGGCATGCAGGACCCCGGGGACACCACGGCCGCGTCCTTGTACTTGGGGGGCCGGTTGGTGAGGAGGTTGCGCAGGGCGGCCGCGCTGCCCATGGCGATCATCTTGTGCTTGGAGTGGATGAGGTTGCGGAGCATGCTGACCGCCCCCAGGTCCCACAGCAGCTCCTGGTCACGGGGGCTGCGGGCAGACAGGTTCCAGAGGGTCCCGCAGGCGTTGCTGACGATGGTCAGGCTGTGCGAGCGCAGGTGCTGCAGCAGCGTCTGCAGGCAGTTGTGGTCCCGGAGCACCTGCCTGCGGGACAGAGGGGACCCCCGGCCGTCAGGGGGGTCCTCGACCCTCTCCCTGCAGCCGTTCCTGGGGTTCAAGGTGCCCCCGCCCCTGCCCAGCCATTACATCCCCCCAGTGCTGTCCCTGGGGTCTGCAACGCCCCCCACCCCCGTGGCACTCCGTGGCATCCCCCAACACCGTCCCCGGGGTCTGCAGTGCCCGGGGTCCCTCCCCCCTTCCGTGGTGCATCCCCACCTGTAATCCTCCCGCGTGGCGACGAGGCTGGAGACGTTCCTGAGGATGCCACCGCCGCTCTCGATGATGGCCAGGGAGTTGCTCTGGCACTTGTAGGTGAGGGTGCTCACCAGGAAGCCCAGGGCCCCCTCCACGGCGCAGATGGCCGCCTTGTTCTCCGTGCTGTGTGCTGACAGGTTCCACAGCGCGCTCAGGACACTCTTCAGGGTGGATTCCTGTCCCAGGGGGGTCACACACCCCTGTCAGCCCCTGTCCAGGTGCTCCACACCCCCTCCCACCCGCCCTGGCACTCACCTTGCCGGCGTGCAGGGCACACCGTGTCAGCCCCGTGACGCTGCCCACCTCCCTGAGCACCTTCTTGCTGTTGATGTCAGCGCGCCAGGAGAGGTTCCTCAGGATGCTGGAGACCACCTGGAGGGGCAGAGCGGGGTGAGTGGGCGTTGGGACTGTCCCCCTGCCCGTCCCCTCCCCAGGGAGCCCCTCACACGGCCAGACCCACCTGGTGCAGCTCCTCGCTGTCGGAGCCCAGCTGAGCCACGATGGCCTCCATGCAGCCCCGGCGGGAGCACAGCGTCGCCTGGGAGGAGGATGAGGGTGGTGAGGGCGACGCCGTGACCCCCTGACCCCGCTGACCCCCCCCCCAAAGTGCTGCCCCCCACCTTGTTGACCACGTCGCCGAAGGTGAGGTTGGTGAGGGCCATGCCCGCGTAGCGCCGCAGCGCCAGGTTCAGGGGGTCGTTCGTCATCTTGTGCATCTCGTAGTCCACCTGCAGCAGCTCAGCCACCGCCTGCAGCCCGCCTGTGGGATGGGATGGGGGTGATTTGGGATTCCTGATCCCTCCCAGCACCCTTGCCCAGCGCTGTGACACTGGGGAGGGGGTGGGCAGGGCTGGCTGTGGTGCAAAGGGGAGGAGCCCCCTCCCCACGCTCACCCAGCTCGTTCATGGCCCGCCGGTACTCCTCGTCGAAGGAGAGCTTCATGATGGCACAGGTGGCCTGGCAGATCTGGGGCTCGATGGGCACGGGCACTGCGGGGGCAACGGAGTCAGTCCTGGGGGTTGGCACTGACGATCCCCCCGTCACCCACAGCCTCCGCCAGCCCCACCGGGCACCCCCTGCTCCCCCCGTACCTGCGCCCTCGGGGCCCCGTCCCCCGTCCCGGCTCTGCATCTGCAGCCAGTCCCAGCAGGTCTCCGAGTAGGAGCGGATCTGCTCCAGCACGTGCAGCACCCGCATCTCCTTCTTGGCCTGGCCCTCGTCGGGCTGGGAGAAGACGATGTTGTGCAGGGCGGCGTTGGCCCTCATCCGCGCGTCCTTGGCGCCCGTGGGGCTCTCGGGGGGCCCCGGCTCCCCGTCCGAGTCGTGCAGGATCTGGATGAGCAGGGGCAGGCAGCCCGACTTGCGCATGGCCTGGCAGCTCTCCTGGGAGCTGGACATGGCCAGCAGCGTGCGGGACATGTCCTCCTTGTCCCGCGTGGCCAGCATGGACAGCAGCCAGAAGACAACCTCCACCTGCAGGAGCAGGACACGGGGTTACACTGAGCCCCCCCTGGCTCAGCCCACCCCACCCGGGCCCTGCGGGGCTGCCCCTCACCTTGCTGTTGCCCCCCTCCTCGGGGTGGGTCGGGGGGTCCAGGCTGCCATCCCCCTCCATGCCCGGCACCTTCCCGCAGAGCTGCGGAGGAGGGAGCGGTTGGGGGGGTGTTCGTGCTGCCCTCACCCCCCGTGCCCGTCCCCTCCCCACTTTTCCACCACCCACTGGTGCCATTAAACCCGGCAGCGATTCCCAGTCGCTGCTTCCGTCAGTGCCGGGGTGTATTTGAAGCTAAAATCAGGGATGAGGGGGGTGGGGGGGCTGTTACAGCCGCAGGCTCGGGAAAGGGGAGTGTGGGAGAGCGAGCAGGGAGGGGGTCAGGGCTGAGCCCACGGAGCTGACGGATTGGAGTGGCAGTGGGGGGGCCGTGAGGGTGTGGGGGTGTCTGGGGGTGATGGAGGGACTGGGGGTGATGGAGGGGCCACGGGTGTTGCCACAGGGGGCTGTGGGTGACAGTGGGGCTGTGGTGATGGAAGCCCATGAAGGTGATGATGATGATGATGATGATGATGATGATGATGACCATGGTGGGGCCATGGCAGTGGCAGCCCACGATGATGAGGATGATGGTGGGTGACAGTGGGGCCGTGGTGATGGCAGCCATGAGGATGTGGATGATCATGGTGATGAGGATGATGGTGAGGGTGATGATGAGGATGATGATGAGGGTGATGATGAGGA